AGACCAATTCAGCGAAAGCTGCAATTCATTTTCTATTGAATCATGATCACAATAGTATAAAAGGTGGGCTTACAAGAGTTGTTTCAAACCAAATTCAGTTCTTAATTTTTATTGAACGAAGAAAAAGAAATATCTATCTATTCTGCAAAAAATAATTTAATGAAAAGTATTAGAAAATCTAATATTTTGAATAAATAAGTTAAAATCAATTGTAATACCATCAATAATATAAAAGTAATAAAATGCACTGCAGTGAATTTTTTTATATAAATATAGTGAATGCAAAAATAATTCGACATATTATATTATATCTAATATGTGGATAAATATTTGATATATAACCATTTTCGAAAGCTTGACAATAGTAAAAATGTTATGCTTTACAAAATATTGTTCAAACACAACTTCATAAAGATTTAAGAATATATAGGTATATAGATTAGAGCTCGCAGACTATTTTCAACAATGCGTACTCCCTCGAATTTATCGCAATGTAGACTAAAAACACACTTTGGTAGATAAACTGCACTTTTGAATATTCTATTATAATTAGTAAATATCTAACTTGATCAGTATATTCAGAACTACATGCCGCTATAGTAAATGATTCTTATATGTAATCATCTATAAAAGTGTAAGTTCTAGAAGTAACTAACTCGATAAACCTTAAACACAACAAGAAAATGGTTTAAAAGTCAAATAAAAACTTGCAATTTAAAAATAAAATTTAGAAAAAACTGTCGGTGAAAAACTGTTAACAATTTTTAAGCATCAATAAATAAAATTTGTTAGTTTCAAAGACAAAAGTCTAAATCTGCTCAGAATTTTTTTTTATTCACAATGCAACTTATAACAATAGATCCTCGACAATGGCATATGATAGTCAAAATCCGACAGGATTTAGAGAAACTTAAAGTGGCAATCGATACCTGCCTTTGAATTGCAAAAATCTCGAAAACGTTTGCTCTGTGCCAGGTGAAATTTCATTGCAACACTTAGTGAATTGTGGCTGTCACAGTGGTGTGCAGAGCTTAATTCGGTGCTATGAGGAAAGGGTGTGTAAAAATTTGCCACGAAAGCCATTTTCATTATTTGATAACCCAAGCTCTTAGTAAACGCACGGTGCAGTGAATGTCATTGACTTTGTCGCTGAAGGATGCACAACGTCACACCTCAATGAATCGCGGATGCAATATTTTTATGTTACTCCCAACAGCAAACAATGGTTGCGCTTCCCTCGCTGCTTGTCTCGTACTATGCACTGGCATCCGTTCATCCTGCACTGTTACCATTTACTGTTCACCACTTAACGACAAAACGGAAATGAAATTTTATGACGGCAGAATTTAATAATTTTTTGAATCCGTCGCAGGGGTGTGTAGAATTGCACTTTGCCGTAACCTGCAATTGAACATGAAATGGGTGCTCATAAATACAGTTGAAGTTTCAAGTTTCTATGCGTAAGAAAATCCAGAGCGAATGGAGTAAATCCATTTATTGCAGAAAAATCTAAGCAGAAAACTTACCTATAAAATTTTTCGATCAATATTTTCGAATTATCAATTGAAATTCTCATTCCAGCACATAAACATATGTTATACAAACAAACGTTAGCATCAAATGTATTTATATACAAGTGCTTGTCTGTACCAACTCAGCGCTAGTTTTGTTCGCAGTATAAATGTAAGAACAGAAGTTTTGATCTCAGTCTTTAATTGATACTAATAGACACATGTTTAAGCTTGCATTGGAAATAAAACCATTTTCCTAAGGGATATCTGTAATATCTTTTTCATAAAACTTTAACTACATTTATTTTACGTTTCCTTATATTTTACTGAAAATATCATTAATAAGATGATTATTCCTCCACTTAACGAATGATTGTTCAAAATTAGCATTAAATTTAATTGACGTTAACTTTTTGTAATTGGATGTGAATAAATCTAGTTCCTTGTTTATGTCTGAATCTTCAAATTATTAAAAAAATTAAGTAAGTTAAATTTTTTTGTTTCTATGTGGTACTAACTATTTCATGTATTGTATATTTAATTTTGTGCACTCACTATACACACTCGTGCATGCAGTAATAAAGTGAAAAGCGGCTGTACAACACCTTGCTAGATGAACTGTCAACTAATCCCTGGGGAAAAGCATACCAAACTGTCAAAAAGATAATGAAGGGAACTTCACCATCAGCTCCTACTAATTTTCGTTTCTTAGAAGAGATCGTACGCAACTTGTTCCCACAAGGCTCTGGGATAACACACATACTGACCGATGACGACGTCCAAGTTAATTTAATAACTCCAAGCGAAGTTCTTGAAGCTGCAAAAATCATTAAGGACACGAAAGCACCTGGCGTTGATGGTATCCCAAATGGCGCGCTTAAACAAATCGTATATAGAAGGCCAGAACTGTTTGCGGAAGTATTCTCATTGTGTCTAGTAGAAGGCGTGTTTCCAAAACTGTGGAAAGTACAACGACTAGTCCTTATCCCTAAAAAAGGGAAGCACTTACATGAGCCGTCATCTTACCGACCGTTGTGCATGCTGGATACTACTGGAAAGCTTTTTGAAAAACTTATTGCTACCAGATTGGAACAGTACACAGAAGGACCAAATGGCCTGTCAATATGGCAACATGGTTTCAGGAAAGGCCAGAGTACAATAAATGCTATAGCAAAAGTGCATAATATAGCCCAAAATGCGCTGGATGGAAAAAGATGGAGAGGCGGCAGCAAAGAATACTGTGCTATAATCACGCTGGATATCAAAAATGCTTTCAATTCAGCGGATTGGAACGCAACAATAGAAGCACTAGCAAAACTGGAAATACCGGCATATCTACTTAGAATGATCATAAGCTATTTCAACGACCGCATTCTAATGTATGACACAAACGACGGTGTGAAGACATATTTAGTGTCAGCAGGAGTTCCACAAGGCTCAGTTTTAGGCCCCATTCTCTGGAACGTAATGTATGATGGCGTATTTAATGTAGAAAAACCAGCTGGAGTGCAGTTAATTGGTTACGCTGATGATATTGCAATTGTAGCGGTTGCAAAAACCATCAACGAGCTTGTAATGAAATGTGATAGCACCATCGTAGTGGTCAAACTCTGGCTTGAGTCAATGGGCCTGGAATTATCAGAGCACAAAACCGAAGCAGTTCTTCTAAGTAGTAGAAAAAGAATAGAATTTATTGATATACATGTTGGCGAGCTTTCTATCAAATCAAGCTCGGTAATTAATTATCTGGGTGTCAAAATAGATCAAAGGCTTAACTTCAAGGAACATCTGAAGTCTGCTGGTGACAAAGCAATTAGAATCGGTGCAGCAGTTGCAAGATTAATGCCAAACATTGGTGGTCCAAGATATGCAGGTCGAAGACTACTGGCATCAGTGTCGACTTCAGTAATGATGTATGGCGCACCAATATGGTATCCCGCAGCCTTCCGTTTATCATATACAAGATCTTTGGTGTCAGCTCATAGATTAGCATCATTAAGGGTATGCTGCGCGTTTCGTACAGTCTCCGAAGTAGCTATAAACGTCATTGCTGGACGAATACCAATAGACCTACAGGCTAAAGAAGCTGCAGCTCTGAGAGATCTCAAATCACAAGAGTGTCTTAGCCGAAATTACAAAGATGAGGTACGAAGTCAAATATACGTACAGTGGCAACAACGGTGGATTACATCAACAAAAGGAAGATGGACATACAATCTTATTCCATCAATTGCTGCCTGGACCTCAAGGAAATATGGTGAACCTAATTACTATGTTACACAGTTTCTCACAGGGCATGGTTGTTTCCGAGAATATTTGTTCAAATATAAACATGCTGATGACCCCTTTTGTTTGCATTGTGGTAAAGTGGTAGAAAGCGTTGAGCACATACTGACAACTTGTATACGTTTTACACGTGCTAGAGAAGCATTAGAAAGATTAATGGGTAACCATGTTACATGTCATAGAGTCGTACAATACATGTTGTCCTCTAAAGATGCCTGGGAACAAGTTAATCATATAATTACAGCAATCATGCAACAACTGCGACGAGATGAACGACAACACCAAATGAGAGTAAATGATAATTGAGAAATAGAGCGTTAGTGCTCGCCCTGTCCTAGCGAAGTAATACCTAGCTGGTGGTCCCGCGGGACGTTTTCTAAAGGGCAGTGTTATTTATAGGGGTTAAGGTTTAGTCCGTAGGCGTACTGTGTCGCAAGTTTGGCATATGCAAGAGCATCGTACCTGCGTAAACTTGAGAAAGAGTGGTAGCGAACAGTATGAATCGGGCATGCTTTTACAGCATCTTTAGAAGATTCCACCTCTAATGGAAAAAAAAAAAAAAAAAAAAAAAAAAGTAATAAAGTGACTGAATGAAACATTCATTTTAGATAAAAAATTTTTTTTTCAATTTAATTAGTTTATATCGTAGATATAAGTTTACATCGCAAAGTAACAAAGTCAAAACAATAGCGAATTGTAGTTCTTCTGTATCAAGAGCCGACCAAATCTTCCTAACAAACTGCTGCGTTGTAGTGGAAATGAAGATTTTAAATTCAAGATAAAACTGTTACATAAATATCAATACTTATATATAACAGTATAGCATTATTCTTAGCATTTTTCTTAGCATTATTCTTAGCATTATTTGCACATGATTGCCATTGAAGAAGTAAAAACTAAATAAGGAATATTTGTTCTACAATGGCAATTAATTCTATTAGAAGCTTTATTTTACTACATTTTTCTATACTTTGTGAAACAAAATGTGTTCAGCAACGCGAATAATCATTTTACAAAATAGTTTTGCAATATCATTTCCTCATTCAATCGGCTAAACGTGCTCTTACCTATTCTTGCCAACATTTTTTTATGACTACATTTACTCACATCTGTAATTAACATATATGCCAGTAAACTATTTATTATATTTTTTGCAAATTATCTCATCACTTTAATTTTTTTTTCTCTGTTGATTGTTTGTAGTTAATGCCAGAACATTGCCACATCCGCGACATAACAACAATACAGCGAACATTATGGATCAACGGGCACGAGATGATCAAATGCTAATTAGTAAAGGTGTATATATTCCGTCGCCTTCACCAGCACCTCCACCAGATGGCTCCTACTACAACATGAACAGTGACAGATACCTGTCATATCCTCCAATGGTGAGTAGTTTCCATTATTTATTACTCGTCTTTTTTTCTAGCTACATTATTTGCATTCTTTTGCTTCCTTGAACTTTTTGTTATTTTTTTTTGGATTTGTGGCATTTGTCAATGTGCACCATAGCAAATGTAAATGCAAGTTTCACAGTTGTTAAAACTGCAACAGCTGGCGGGCGTGTTGGTCGGACCTCATTGCAAAACAATAATCGCAGGAATATTATGTGCAATTTCAATTAAGTTCCATGCGGTTTCTGATCCTTATAAAAGACAGAACATTTCCAAAGTCAGCAGTTGACTCTGTCTCCGTCATCTGACATTGTTTTGTGCTTTAATTGGCACTTCTCCTGGAGGTAATACAATTCAATAAGAATAACTTCTTAGCGGCAGAGAAAATTTCATTTTCAATAATTTTTAATTGTGGTTGGGATTATATCGCGCAATAAGTCAAATTCGTGAAGCACCAAAAATAGTTTGCATAAATAAAAAATTATTCCTGTTTATTTATATTTAGGAAATTCTACTTACTTTAAAAGTCAGTTAATAGTCGAAATTGGCAAAGTTAAATGAAACTGTTTTATACTGAAGAAAAACAGAAGAACTCGAAGCGATAGCCATAAACTATTGTTTAAGTTGAAAATGAAATTCTTTCATTTTCGAAAGTTTTTTAATTAAAATATTGTCAACGAAGTGCAAAATAAAACTTTTTTATTTTCTCATATTTTGAGTAATATTTTCATTAAAATCATTAAATAGTAAGAGTAATTCAAACTTAATCGCCAGTAATTTACAAACTTTTATATTTATATATACATATATAAAATAATATTAACTGGAAGAGGATTTGAGTTTCTAATTTGCTTTATTACTGCATGTTTTAACTTCTTTTTAGGGTTTCTCCAATCATCTTATTTTATTCATAAATATTTTTATATATAATATAAGGTAGAAGTAATTTAATTCGACGTCGTACTATTTAATACGTACATTATCAATGCAATTCCGTCGTTATTACTACAAGATATTATTGTATATATATTATATATTATTGATATATTATTGTTACATTACATTTCAGCCAGTTATTAATTTTGAACTAAATTGTTGTTAAATATAAACTACATTTGCCTATGTAATAATTATAGTTCAGTTGACAGTTCCAGCAACAAAATAATTAAACATTAAAGATTAATTTAACTAATAGGAATTGCAAACATTTGAGAAAAGAAGAGAGATCTATAAAATGTGCATGGTTTGTGTGTATTTTTGCAATTACTTAAAGTTATTTTTAGATACTTCGACACAACACACCTTAATGAGGTATTAATAAGTGCAAACCATATAAATTGCATATAAATAAATAAGGACTCTTGAAACGCTTATTTGCTTATCATTTACAGTTTCAATTTCAACTGGGTACCTGCTTCTCCAGCACACTGAGCAAATAAAGCAACTCTAGTCCGTTTCACATGTCGTATTTTTACTATTGCATTATAAAACTATGTTCTTAAACTTTATTTGCTCAAGTTAAATACTTTAAATCTTTTATCTTGGCAATTCGTGCTGTCACTTAAAAATGTACATTTTTTGCAACTCATTCTTGTATCTTCGTAAACTTAAATGTACGTCAAGTGCAATATTGTTGCATCTGTGCGAAAATACACGCAATCATGTCATATGCACAAGCAGGGATGTGTGCTAATGCTGGAAGGAGGCTTCATGCTCATGTACTAATCCTTAAAACTATTCTGCATAAAGGGTCGGGGAATTCTTTTGGTGTGGAGTTGTGAAAGTTTTGTAAGTTGCAAAGCATAAAACATCTATTGACATAAAATTTAAGAGCCGCTTTCTGTTAACGAAATATTGCCAACAACAAAGAAAAGCTACTAAAAACTTTAGAATTGTCACAATATTTTTACAGAAACGCTATATAACGTCAGTGATACATTTCGCGTTGCGTCCGCCATGAAACTATTCCATGGCTCGCATAGTTGCGCGAACGTAAACCAAACATGGCTTCAATGCATGATGCAGAAGAATTAAGTATTTCAAACGAAAATGCTTAGAAATGTATTTTAATATAATATATAAGCAGAATATGTACTTAAGTTTATTGCTGCGTTTCCTTCTTAAGACCATCTGCCAACACCTACTGTAGTTGAATTGATTTCTGCGTAACCCGCTGAACACTTAACCTGTAAGGTGTTTTACCTGTATCACAACACTCTGTAAATTGTCTAGCCACATGACTGATGAAGTTTTGAACACACAGGAAAAATTATAATAAAATTTATTTCTTTAGCTACTTTTGCTATTAAGTGCGCTGAAGCGCATGTATAATTTCGTGATATGTGACGTGAAATTTAATTAAAGAATTATACAAGATGAAGAGGAGTAGAACTATAGCACTCATATAGTTTTAAAATATTCTAGTAGAAAGATTTTAGCGCACTCACGAAACACATGGCGTACGGTGTTTGTGTAACGTGCGACATGCAACACTTGCTACACACAAATTTGTTGTCATGCTGCACATATTTAAATGTTTTCCTAAAAGCGTGCTGCAACAGTAGTTGCTTTGTGAATATAATGATATGTGAAATATAATGATATGTGCATTGTATTTGTTTTGGCACATATTCTTCATTACGCCAGCTTAAAACAAATATAAATTTGTTGTAATGCACTAAAGCAGCAGCATAGTTGAACCCGCGTGAAAAGTCTCATTGAACTTAAAGTCATTGCTCTAATATTTTATATTCAAAAATATAGAATTCTGAACCTAATCATTTAAATAATCATTTATTTTACAGCAGAAGTAGTTGGAGCAGATTGAATCAATAACTTTGCAAACTTCCTGCTACCGTGAAATACCAATAAGTAAGCTAACCACACATTTCTATACTGAACAAAAATCCACTAGAACACAGAAACAATTTTGACCACTGAAATCATTTCATCCAACTTTTAATAAGGAAATAAGTTTGTAACCTAAGATTACTTAGTTACTTGCAAAACCATCAACACCTGCAATATTGAGAAATAGAGACAAAAGCTCGTTTTTAATAGCTACTTACTATATTTCTATGGAGGTTTTCATCAAAACCTTTTTCTTTTTTCTTCCAAATGAATTTGTGAATTTTTTCGTGTTTTTTTTTGTTACCTAGCATTTTGGATGTTACTAACTTTAATATAAACATTTAATCTAAGTTGAACGTTTACTGAATGCATGAGTGAATTAGAGCTTTTAATTTAAGTGAAATCATAACTTAACGCAGGATATGAACCTAACGACCTTAACCTTTAAAGAACTTGTTGGTCGGTTATGGAAACATGAGTGATTTGGAGTGATTTTTTTGAATTACTATTTAATCAACAATTTATAATATAGTAATAGACTTCTTAGAAACGTCATTCTAACACAATTTAATAGTAACAAATAAAAATACGGTGTATTTTACGATTACTTAGCAAGGTAACTGAATATGTTGTGACTCCAATTAAATTTAATGAGATCTTGTTTTTACAACGATTTGATTTGAATTAAAATTTTTTTTTTGTAGAAAAATTTCTATAATTTTTTTATATCAATTTGTGTCAAGAGATATTTCATTTATTTTCCAAATTAAAAAAAATATAGTAAAGCAAAATCTTTTATTCAGTCTGAAACACTATTTTGTTGGTCGTTCATAACAAAACAAGAAGCTGAAGCTGCCAAAAATATTACGCCAAATTATTTTTTAAGGGGGCTCTGCAACGGTCTTTGTCAATGTCTGAACAAATAACTGACTGAACAATAGAAGAAAAGAGCGCAATTTAATTTCGGTTCACGTGGTTTGTTCCATTTTATAAGTCTATTTCGTCTTTTTGTGTAAGATTCGCAACCATTGCTGTTGCGTACATAAAAATGTGTAACAATAATTGAATTATTTGATAAAAATCGTTTGTGGCAAAGTACAATACAAACTGATAATGTATTGCAATAACAACAACAAAATACGGTCACTCACAAATTTTGTAAAGTTGTTAATAAAATGTGTAAATTAAAGGCAATGGCACAGCACAGTTGTGAGTTTGTGTAGGTGTGTGCCAGAGTGTGCCAGAGTGTGCCAGAGTGTGCCAGAGTGTGCCAGAGCGTAAGCAGTTAGTCAAGTTCTGATGCAAATTGAAACTTGAATCGACAACAAATTCAATTTTTCTTCAGTTTTATTTTTGTGGTTGTATGATTCTCTTATCTAGTAAATTGGGGAACTGTGTGATGTATGTGTGTGTGAAAGCTTGTACTAAGCTCAGATCAAAGTTGTCACTTGAATGGATGTTGAAGTGTTTAACGACTACACAAATTTCAATTTCCATAAAATTTCAATAAAATAAAAATGGCGTCTAGATTAAAAAACGATATTAATTAGATTGCTTCAATTCTTGGAGCGATATTAGCAATGTTAAAGCTTTGGTATCGAATTTAATGTAGCAGTTTGAATATTGCATATAACGAAAAACTCTTAATTTTATTACTAAATTTGGGTAATAAATAATAGATATAAATTTTCTGGACTTTACTAGATTTAATAAAACATTTCTTTCGAGTGTTAATTTAAATAAAAAGTGAACCGTTTATTATCTTAACACAAATGTTTCAATCCGATTCGTAAACCGTATTCAGTGTTCGATATTTTAAATTTAAAAGAAGCATTAATGTATACAAAAATTGGGTGAGGTAAATGTGTCTTACGTCAAATTTAAATGTTATGAATTTATTTTGACAATTAAGTTTGAACTAGTGACCTAAAGATTTGTCTCAAACTTACCATATCCTTCTTTGTCATCTAATACATCACTTATTATGTAGTATTTACAGCATTCTTTACTAAATAGCACAGTATTCTGTGCTTTTAGTGCTCTCTTTGTTAAGAATTCTTATTTCATTAAAATTAGGTGCATAATTTATATTGGGTCATTACATCCGTTTTTTACCAATAGGTAAGAAACCAATCTTTAGACAA